TTTAGCCTGTGTAGAATTGCAAAAAGATACCCTCTGTGGCATTTGAGTCTGACTTCTGATAGGTCTAGGTTTTATTTTTAGTATTGGGCTTGATCATTCCAAGATTCTATTTCTTTCTACCCCTTGGTCTATCTTTTAAGTGTCATTTATCAGGTAAAGAATACTTGAGGATTTGGTGTGTTGCTGTATTTGTTCAACAATTCAGTGGGGCCTTGCCTTTCTTCCACAGATAACTGAAAACACCAAGTGAAGATTTTCTCCTGGCACTATTACTGTGAAGGGCAATCAATACTTGGGATAGGGAAATATGCTGTGATTTTTAAATACTTACTGAAGTTACAAATTACCAATGCAATTAAAGAAATGTGTAGTTTATAAGGTCTTCCTGATTAGAAACAACTGGATTTGACTCCTCTCAGATTCCTGTACTTCTAATGAGAGATTTTTCCTTAAAAGTCCCAGGACTTTACAGATTTTAGATTTAACTTTGAGAATCTAAAACTTAAATGAGGTTTAGTGTGCCTGCTGGACTTGTGCTGTTACACTGGGAGGATGATGTGTGATGCCTGTTGATGGGTATTTCTGAGAAGTGTGTATTGGCCTCCAAGTGTTACTCTTGATAAGAGGGAGCTGAAGCTATCATAGTTATATGTGAATTTTTCAGGTGTAGGGGGTGTAGTAACTCTGCTCCCCACCACACCTGAGGAAGTGGATCTTCAGCTATTTTGCTTTTGATCATGCAGAAGACCCATTTTTTAGTCATGTTTTGTGCTGTAGCTAAGTGTCTGAAACACCTCACCTTATTCTTAATTGAAATATTTTAATTACCTTTTGACCAGGTATCCAGCTCATATTGAAGAAATTGATTATGAAGAAGGAAAAGTACTTATCCATTTCAAACGCTGGAACCATAGATATGATGAGTGGTTTTGTTGGGACAGTCCTTATTTGCGTCCCTTAGAGAAGATACAGTTAAGAAAAGAAGGATTACAGGAGGAAGAAAGTTGTGCAGTAAGTAGGAAATAGAGGATGTTTGAGTCCATAACAGTTTAATGTGCAGTTGTATGAATTGTGACCATTGAAATGCTTCACTGTTGCTGGGTTGCCTTCTGTATAAGTTTTATGATTTGTTTTAAATATATTGGAAAAGAGATAATTTTGATGATTTAATGAAGTTGGAAGGATCAGTAATTATTGGATGAAAATACTTGTAACTACTGTCTTGTAGGGTTTTCATATAAATGATCAGGTGTTGGCATGCTGGTCTGACTGTCGCTTCTATCCAGCCAAAGTTACTTCTGTTAACAAAGATGGTAAGGAGTAATTTTTTTATTTTGTCATGCTTGTTAATAATGCATTTCTGGTTGTATTCTAACCTTTTAGTTTAGGTGGAGAGACAGTACAGCAGACAGAAAAGAACTGTGACAAGTTTTACTTTCAGTTACATATTTTAGTCTGCCATCAACTTTTTTTAACCTAACCTCTTAAATGAGATAAAAGAACTTTCTGCTGGGATATCCAGTCAGTAATTGCTTTAGTAATATATTTGGGATAAGTTGTTACTAAGAAAGTTTATTGTTACAAGATGCACATAACTGCAGTGAAAGCAGTGTCAGAGCTGCAAAACCCCTTTGCAAATAGAAGAAGAGAAGCATAGCTATGTATCTCCTTTTGAATATCAGTAAGTAACCAAGAAAGACTTGTTCTTGTGCTGTGCTTTCCTTGGATTGACTCTACATTGTAAGATCGAGGAGGAAAAACATCTATGTAGTCAGTTATTGGAGTATTCCACTAAGAATATTTTTTGGGTTTTATGAGGAAGGTGTTATCTCATGAGCAGCTCTTGAGCTTAGACATGCACCTTTTGCTTGCCATAATTATTTTGAGTAACTTCATTGTTTCTTCCTTACCTGGCCCTTACCTTTGCTGTTTAAGTTTCTATCAACAGAGATAAGGCAGCTTTTATCTAGAGTACTGGGGCTGTTAGCTGCTCAAAATAACTTCTGATCTCTTGTGCTTTATTTTCACATTTTAGGTACATACACTGTGAAGTTTTATGATGGTGTAGTTCAGACTGTCAAAAACATTCATGTCAAAGCTTTTTCCAAAGATCAGGTGAGTATTGTGTTTGTGCTACTAGTGTGTTCTGAAATTAACAGTTCAGGTGGCTAGATCTGATGAATTCTAAAACACTGAATAAATGAAACATCTCTATTGCTGATATACAATGCTTCTGAAATAAAACCTGTTAAGATGAAAATAAAGTTCTCAGTTTCATGTTGTCATGAATGTACCTCTTAAACTAAAAAAGTCACATATGAATTAGTTTTCTAAAAATCACTGGCAGATTCAGAGTGTACATATCAAAGGTAATAGTAGGTTATTAAAACACACTTTGGTGGTTTCACCTGTTTGAGATTAGATTAAATACATGCATCTTAAATATTAAGGGAGGGGACCTATGGAGTGGGCAGAAGCTATTCTTTCCTGAAGTAACTACTTGATTATCATGAGATTTCTAAAGAAGCTGTCTGGTAAGCTTTCACCTCACAGCTTGGAGAAAATAAGCTTTACTAAACTACATTCTGCTTCTATGGTTTGACTGTTCTACCAACATTTCATTCTATCAGCCCTTTACCTGCTCAGTGCTGTGGCTTCAGCCTTCAGCTCATGATGGAAAGCAGTTTTGAGCCATTCTGAAACAAAACAAACAATAATAAAAAGAATACATTTTAAAGAATAAATACCATTAAAGAATAAGAAGTGCTGCTTTGTACTTCAGGTTTCATATGCAGGCAATTTGTAGCAAAGGCTGACAAGTTCTAGTCCTGTGTAACTTGGTTAAAACATAAATACTTGCTTTGGAATTATTTTCATTATGGGAATAGTTTTAAGTTTGACATCTTGCCACACATTCCTGTGTGGTAGCTGTAGCCTGTGTTTTTAGTCATGCCTTCTGCTTTCTGTATTCTGGAACTTTAAGTTTGAACAAAGATGTTGGATCACTCCCCCCCAGCACAAGTCTTAAATATGAATTCCAGTAATGAATATTAATGGCTGCAGTTGAAATCTGTCAGTGTTGAGAAGAGGCATCCCATTCCTCGGAGATCTCCAGGTCTGTGGATCTGCCAGGCTGGGAGGGAAAACTGTTTCAGTTTTGCCACAAAGTGCTCTTAATAGCTTTCAAATGGTAGTAATTGTGCCTGGTTGTGGGTTGACTAATATTCACAAGGGAACCAGTGATGAATTTTCATTGCCATGAGAAATATTTCTCCAATATTTAACCTTAAATACATGAAGTTGAATCGTCTTAAGAAATATTCCACACAAGAAAGGCAAAATATTTTGTCTCTCCTCTCTCCATTAGGGAGTTTCATGTTTCCACATAGCTTTGGGTAGGCTTTGAAAGGAGTTTAAGTTTTCTTCTCCCTTTAACCACTGGCCAGGATGATTTCTGTTGACCCAAGAGAAAAGTTACACTGGAACATTTTGTTCTGTCCTTTAGCATAAAAAAGCATAAAGGGAGAATTTCCTAGTGAGCTTTGTTTGCACAATCAGAAATCAAGTTAAAAAAAAAATACTTGAGCCAATAGCAGCTCAAGATTCTGTTTTCAATGTTAGTTACTTAATGTGTGGGTTCAGGTGCAGCACTACTGTAGTATTGTACTAGCAGTAGGAGGAATGTCTTGTCCTGTTCATCAGTAGGAGAGACTGTAGCTGTGAAGATACACATGGCTCCTGTCTTACCTGTTCTTAAAGTCAAGTCCCAAACCCACCTGATACCTGAAGGGAGCAATATGGTCTAGATGTCTTCTGATGACTGTTACTGTTCCTATGTAGAGGGTGTAGCTGTGTTGAACAGTGATGGTAAAGTGCTAATGACTTGCACAGTGTGAATGTACTTAGGCAAGGACAGGCAGCTTTTGGGGGAGCTCAGTAGCATCAAGAGGTAGTTGGGACGTACTGTGCTTATGGTTCAGTTTCTGGATAATAATTTGAAGATTCATGTGTGTTCCAGTACCACATACTTGACTCAAATCAGGTAGTTCTGTGAGAAGCAAAACTAATTAAACCTAATGCCTGAGGGGTTTTTAATGCTTGAATTGCCACTGAAGCTTCTCCCATAGCTGTGGCATTTAAGGAATCTGTAGAAGGCAGATTTTTATGTTGTCTGGTAAAAGTAGTGATCAAACACCAAAGAAGGTAAAAAGCTTTCTTCCCTCTTTGCTTAGCTGTTTTCACAAAATACACAGCAATTTAATCTCATGTTTTTAAGCAGTGATTTTTTAATTATTTTTTTAAAATTGCTTCTATGCCAAGTATGTTTGAAATAATACATAGAGGGTGGAACACATTGCACATTCACCATGTTATTGCATCAGGATTATTTTACAGAATCACAGAATGGTTTGAGTTGAAAGGGATCTTAAAGATCATCCACTTCCAACCCCCCTGCATAGGCAGGGACACCTCCCAGTAGACCAGGTTGCTTCAAGCCCCATCCAACCTGGCCTTGAATTTCTTAGGACTGTGGTCTGAAAATGGCACTCTTAGAAGGTCTCAGTTCATGTAAAACACATAGGAAGATTGGGGTGCGACGAGACAAGATGTAGGCTAGTACAAAGAGATAGTGAGTCTCAAGTGCATTCTCAGAATTGTGCATCTCTCAAATCAGCTGTCCTGCTTTCTTTCCCAAGAAGAAGTGAAAGCATTTAGCCTTTCTCATCTCCTGATCCATTCCAGAGTTTAAGCTTCCTGTGCCATGCAGAACCTCAAATCAGCTGTCCTGCTTTCTTTTCCAAGAAGTGAAGGCATTTAGCCTTTCTCATCTCCTGATCCATGTCCAGAGTTTAAGCTTCCTGTGCCATGCAGAACTATAGCTGGAAAGGAATGTGGTTGCTGTTTAATGCTTTCAAGTTACTAGTCAACAGGAAAAGAGAAGTTAGTTTAACTAGAGGCAGCGTTGACACATGAACAAATATAAATTATTAATCTGGGTGCAAAGTTAGAAAGCTTCAGTTCATCAGAGCAGAGAAAGGCAGGGACAGCCTGTAGCAGGATCATTGGATGAAGGAAAAACCCAAACCTGCGTTTGCCCAGATGGGGTTAATATGAAACCAGATCACAAAATGGAAAGGTTGTGGAGTAGCAGTGACCTGTTGTGTTGTTCTTCCTGGTTTGATGTTTCTGTGTGAGAACTGTGGGGAAATGAGACTGCAGTTGAGTATTGTGTCATAGTCACTGGCCAGGGACTGCTGAGGATTTTCACGTGGTCTAAAGCTGAACACAAATTACAGAAACACAACGTTTATTTTTTTGTTTTTAAACTTAAGATCACGTGGTTCCTGAGGAAGCTGGTGATTTCAGTTGCTTTATGTGACACTTTAGTTGGCATGTTTCGTTAACACTGATAATTACTAGCTCAGTACTGGTTTGTTCTGGGTGAGAGGAGGATGTTTTTGCATCCAAGGATGGAGCCGCTTTCCCATGTCTGTTCTCGTGACTCCCACTCCTTCCTCAGTGTCCCAAATAGGCTTTGAATTGTATTGCATGAGCTGATATGGACCTCACAGCAAATCCTGCACCACTGAGTTTTGAAGAGAGTGAATCTGTTGCACTGTCCTGTACTGTCTGAGTCCTTGAACAGTTCAAGTGCCTCCAAGTTTTCATCTGTGGGTTGCGATAGAGTATCTGTGCTTATCTTTTGACAGATGGGACAAGGGTGCAAGTCTGTTAAACGGGCAGGGGAGGATTTTCAGACTGTAGTAAGTTAATGTTCATGTCATTCTCTTTATTCTAGAATATTGTGGGTAATGCTAAGTCTAAGGAGAGAGGTGATGAAATTCCGTCATCTCCTGAAAAGCGGGAGAAATTTAAAGAACAGAGGAAAGCAACAGGTAATGCAAAGAAAGACAAGGATGAAAAGACATTAAAGACTGAGAAAAGAGTTAAGCAGCCTGATAAAGAAGGAAGATTGATGGTCATCTCAGAAAAAGGCAAGGTCTCAGAGAAGAATATATCTAAGAATGGAAAAGAAGATAAGGAGAATATATCAGAGAATGATATGGAATATTCAGTAGATACACAAATTGAGAAGAAACCTGAGAATGACAATGTAAAGAGTCCACAGGAAAACGCAAAAGAAACAAAACGGAAACGTGGCAGACCACCAGTAACACCTCCCACAGGTATGTAGCTGAACCTGCATGGTTAGGCCATGTACTGAAAGCCTTCTAAACTTACCTAAAGAAAAGAACTATTCTGTTAGAAACATAGAATCGTAGAATTCTGTGACTCTATGAGAACTATTCTGTTCTTTCACAGCCTAAGTCTCTAGAAGCATTTCAAACATTTTCAGGTTATCTTTGTTCAAGCTTGGTTAGGACAGCTGAGAGCATCTTGCTGGTCAGGTTTGGAGCTTAAGTGGTTTGGTCAGAGAAGAGGAGATTTAGGCAAGTCATCATATATTAATGTGTTTGCGGTAGGATTCAATGATACGTGGACCTAGGAAAGCCAGATGAAACTATTTATGCAAGTCTAGTATTTTCAGTTGGGAGGCTTGGGACTTTATGTTTAAAAGCTTTTCAGCTTCATATCCAGTCAGTTTTTGTTCTCTAAACATGTAGAGCCAGGTTCTCAGACGCTGCAGCCCATAACTTTGGAGTTAAGACGTCGGAAAATACCTAAAGGAGGTGAAGTTCCATCCAAGCGTCCCAGGATTGACAAAAACTTGTGTGAGTATTTTTTGGTATTCAACTGTAACAGTATTTGTACATGTAAGTACTGGAAGCTTAAGTGAAGAGGAGAAAAAAATAAAAGTCAGTAGTATTAACCATGAACTGTGAGACACAAAAGGACTGAAATGTAGCACCTGTGTTGCTTTTTTTTAACTGGCCTTCTGTGTAGCACCATCATGCTCAATTTCCCTCCTAAGTCTTGGAACCTGGGTTTGGATAAAGGAGCCACAAGCTGTGAGTCTTGATGCAGACACTCGTAGGTATAGGGGATGCAGTGATTATATTGCCTCCAATACAGACAAAGTTATAAAAGCCTTTTTCTAGTTGTAGAAACTCCTTAGTTACTAGATGGAGGCTCTATATTGCTTAGCAAATAAACTTTTAATACTAGGTAAATAATCAGGTCACTACAGCCTACTACTACTCTAATACTGAAGTCTTCTAGTATATATTTAAGTATACTGTGTAGTGATGTTGAAAAGCTTGAGTGTGTTGATGAAGAAAGAAAATACATGCTCTATAGTAGTATCATGAAGGAGGAGAAGGATCTGTGTAAGGTTTTCTTTCCCTTCCTTAGGACCACAAAGCCTTAAAACTTGAGTGCATGTACATGCTCCAGCTTAGGCTCAAAGTTGGTTGTGTGTCTAAATTGTCTCATCTGACTTCTGGTATTACTGATGTCTGTGGGACAGTTGCAATGTTTTACCAGTCAGATATTGATTTGTATTCTTCTAATCTGTCTCTAAAAGAAAAAGTTGACACCTATAAAATCAGCTTTTGCTTAGTCATTATGCTTATTTGTAACTGTTAATGTGATTGTAGCTTTTACAGGGAGATCTAATCACCAGGCAACTGTTTAGCTTTTGGTATTAACCTCAGTCCTTAAAAAACACGCTTTCACACTGTCACTGGGAGGGGAGGACTTCAAACTTTGCTTGTGACAGTAGCCCTGACTACTTGATACTATCAAATTTGTCTGTTCCAGCTCAGGAAAAATTGAAGAATTCTTCAGACAACCCTGAAAGAGACCAGAGCAGGAGACGATCTTCAAGACTCTCGTCTAGTATTAGCCATGAGATTTTAAATACAGATCATGTCATATCCTCAACAGAAATTCAACCGTTGAAAGATGCAGTATCAAACCAAAAGGAATCTGAGAAAGGTAAGTACCCCAGCCTGCTGCTATACTCTGGTTCTGCTGCTGTGGCAGTAATGTGCTTGTTACAGGCACTGTAACTTTGTGTAACCTCCAGGCTCTGTGTCTGCAATCAAAACTTGATTTCATCAGCAGAGCAAAGAAAACTCAAGGAAAGCTGGATCTCTGCTGCCCTGCTTTTTGATTCCACTAGTAAACCCAGCATTTCCCTTGCATGGTGGGAGCTCTTCCAGTAGAGGGATGACTGGTTGGCATAATTAGCCTTGCAAAAGGAGAGCTCTGTAGGTTGTAAAGTAACTTAAAGGAAATGTCATTGTTTTCTTCACTGTCCTTCATTTGGGCTTTTTGTTTTCTTTAAGGAAGGCTGCCTTTCTAAGCAGCTATAAATTTAGAAGGTTGCTACAAGAAGCTGTGTTGTAAAAACTTAGGTTTGTGTTAATGTCAGTTTTGTCAATAACGTATTAATGTTGTGTTTGTGTTGCATCAACAACCAGCAGTCTTAGCAAGGATGGGTGTTGGTCACCACTCTAAGGTGATGAACAAACACATCAGTGTTCTGGAACATGCTTTTGTGTGCATTTTACTTAATGAAAATTTTCTTCCATTCTAGTCCAGTTAGAAATTCCTGTTGAATCTGACCAAAGTTTCAGTGAACAAGGATCTCCTGGAAACACATCCCACAGCACAGCACTCAGCACACACACCAGTTTACAGGAAGAAAAAGCTGAAGAGACTGAATCTTCCTCGGTTACTCCCAGAACCCAAGAACCTTCTGCTGCTACAGGTTCAAATTTTCATTTAATATTTAATATTGATGCATTTCTTCAGGTAGCTGATGGCAGATGTTTCATGCTGGTATGAGTTTTGCTAACAAGAACTGTGCATTCTTGTAGTGTTAACCATGAGAGAAATTATTTTTTTTTAACTCTTTATGGACTCAGTTTTGATCTTACACTTTGGAGAGTGACAGCAATCTTCCAAAAAGTGGAAATAGTAATTTTTAAATTCCTGGGTGTCATACTTACAGCTTGTGAATGGTGAATTTAAAAAATGCTTGTTTTCAGGTTGTAATTTAACATTTGTAATTCTGGCTGAAATTGGACTAACATCCTAAAAAATCATGTTCATTTGTCATTTCTGTGCTGCAGGTGCGTGCTAGCATTGATGCTTGGGCCTCCTAGTTGTGTGTTTCTATATGCTTATGTTTTGGCTTCTGTTATATTTAAGCCCTAGACTAGTTAGAGGTTTTAGTGTAAATGTATGAAATACTTAAAACATTTTGGTGTCTGTCCTTAGCTGGGGCATTGGCTTAGCTTGCGTTTTCAAATTAAAATGTATTATTCAGAGAGTAGACTAAGCCAAAGCATAGTGCTCTCCTGTGATTCCTTCCTGTAACTTTAGTACTTGGATCTGCAGTTAACTGGGAACACTTGGACTACAAATTCTCTAGTTTGTGCTCTATCAAAGAAGCTTAGTTTTAAGTGGAACAGAGCTTTCAGAGGGATTTGCAGTTTCTCAGCATTGCTAGTTTGTATGTGCTATCTTTCATCCTGTTTGGTTAGTCCAGATTTTCCCTCCTGCTTACACTTGTCCTCTCTCACCCACTCTTGTGTAATTGTACAAATGTGTCCTCTCCCTTTGCCACTCACATGCACCTTCAGTGCAGGAAGGAATTTACCTCTTTTCCTTTGCTCAGGTTTGATATGTAAATAGTCTTTTACTGTTTAAAAATGAGAACTCTTGATCTTGAGCTCCTTCCTAATTAGGCTGATAATATCCACCTGGATTCTAATTATGGGATATCCAGAGTCTGTCATCTGGTATG